AATGATGACGAAATACCAACATTCATGTAAATGAAATACGGAAGGATCAAGATCAGGGGGGACATATGGAACAACCCAATAGAACTGTAACCAGAAGCTGCTCAAGAACGCCGCAAGAGATACCCAGTGACGATATAAGAGTTGTGATTTCCGCTGCAGACGCAGAGCATGTTGGGGGCACAATCTGGCACGGCAGCAGATGACAGGGCACATCATCGTTGTGTGGAACACATAGAGCGGGAACGCAGTTTTCCGCTGGGGGGGGGGTCGTAATTGGTCGTTGTTGGGAGAAGGGGAGGGGTCGTATGTGCCTTTGAGAGTAATTTGCCGTGTCGGGAAAAAATTTTTCGCGGTTGTTGACTCGGTTTTTCCTGTTTCATGTGCTATATAGCCACCCCCTGAAGTTTCCGCTCCACGGGAAATTTTAAGTGAAAAACTGGGAAATCTGGGGAAATTGGTAGGTAGGTGTTGGGGAAGGGAGGGGGGCGGTCGTACCAAGACCATCACTTACGTTGGGGCGGTCGCACTGACACCCTCTCCCGGGGGCCGTACTACACCACCATTTCACACATCCCATGCATAACCTGGGTCAGGAATGGGCAGGCGTCGCGCCATCCTAGCTCCTCCTGACATACCTCTGCCTCTCAAGAACGATTGCGTATTCGATTCGATTTGAGCTCCAAAACACCCATACTCATGTCTATTAAAACTTCGTGGCCAACTTTATACTAGGTGTTTTGTGCTTGAGTCTCCAGAAACGTCGTTCTATACCACAGCAAAGGCTCTGGGGCACACAGCAGCTGCTCACAGGAATCATACAGATAACTTTGACTAACAAATTCAGTTCACGTTCTTTTAAAGACACATGGTACGCTCAAACACATTGAGGGTGTATGAGACTATCAGCCCCCCAGCTGTCGATGTGTCGTGGTCCCCCCGCCCAAAACTGCACGGGGTCAGAGTACGGGGCCGTGGGAAAGTCGTAATTCCTTGCTACACCGCCCTCACGTTTATGCTAACACCATCCGCGCGGCGCGGTCGCGTGCAGCTCTCTTGGCTTTTTGCCAAGTCCTGTAATTGCGCTTTGGAATACAAGTACAACGCAATTTCTTTATGCGGATAACATTTTAGGTGCTGCAAAATAAGAACCGAAGATGATGAGGGCTAGAACTCAAGAGCAACTGTGGTGCTTCTGCAATATCCCTCAGAGGCCGCGCATTCCCACAGAACATGACAATAAAACATGACAATACAAGCAAAACGCAATTTCCTAACATTTGAGGTATTGCTCATGCTTCAAAGTCCGAATAGAAGGTGATGAAGATGACAAAGGCTAGAAATGAACAACAACGAATGTAGATGTAAATAAAACAAAATTGAAAAAACTAAAGGCAATAAATTAAAATCGCGTGTGCATTTCTGCGATCCGGCTCTAATGCTATAGAAATACTTCAAACTAACGAGTGGGACGCTTAGGCCGTTTTTATTTTGATGTTTTGTGGGAATGCGCGGCCTGCGAGGGCTGTTGCAGAAGCAGCACAGTTGCTCTTGAGTTCTAGCCCTCGTCATCATCTTCAGTTCTTATTTTGCAGAACCTAAAATGTTATCCGCATAAAGAAATTGCGTTGTACTTGTATTCCAAAGCGCAATTACTTGGCAAAAAGCCAAGAGAGCTGCACGCGACCGCGCCGCGCGGACGGTGTTAGTAAAAACGTGAGTTTGCAAAAACGGGCGGCGTAGCAAGGAATTACGACTTTCCCACGGCCCCGTACTCTGACCCCGTGCAGTTTTGGGCGGGGGGACCACGACACATCGACAGCTGGGGGGCTGATAGTCTCATACACCCTCAATGTGTTTGAGCGTACCATGTGTCTTTAAATAACGCCTGTGTACCTGTGTGTGTCGTCCCACTCTACTCTGGACTTAAGCTTTACTTCATCCCCACCAGCTACTCAGCTACTCACGACTATGACCGCAGCCCAACTAGTAGTCAATTAAATGACTTTTGATTTTATAACAGAGAAACGCAACTGTACGCAACAGGCTCGTATCAGAAATAAGAACTGGAGAGCTGCCAGGAACAAACTCACAATATGTCATAGACCCGGAATTTTTTACTGTACAACAACTGTATCATTATAATACTGTATTAACCACGAGAACTGAACAAACTGTCAATAACTGCAAAGCTATGAAAAGTAACAAATGAGTAACAAATACGTTGCCTGATATGAGCCAACGACTAGCGAAATAATCAAGTGTTGGAGAGAACTAAATGGTCTGCTAAGCGAAAAAAAACATGGTACCATAGATCTGGAAGTAATATGAAGGACAAACAAAGTCAATAGGGCCGATAAGTTCGGAAAACGACAAAATTGTGAGTCTCCTGCGTCATAAAACACTACAACTACAACTCCTCTATTAATTTTTTAGATTTACTCGCTGTCTCCTCACTACTTTCATCATTTTCACGTTCCCGGAAAGCTTCAGGCAGTAGATCTACTTCTTGTGGTGTAAGAGAGTCTTGCACACCGTCTACTGCGGATGAACCGTCTTCACGGAAAAGGGACAGATCGAATTTCACTTTCTGGCCACATTCCTAAATAATTAAGGCATGTGAATAACAAGATGCGATTACAGTAAAAATTACGGTGAGAAGGTGATGAGAAGCTTACCGTCTCGCTATCGATACTATCGTCGCTACTATCATCTTCATCACTGCTACTTGTGTCACTTTCATCAAGATCGAGTGAAACTTTGTGGATGTCAACGTCCAATTTCTTCGCATCACCATCTCCACGCATTAATGAATCATTCGCCGCCGCTATTTTTGGAATGAAGGAGCACAGTCTAAAACTGGAGTCCATTTTCGAGTGCAGTGCTGAGACAATAATTTCTTTTTATGATCAGGACACGTACTGGCTCCGAAGAACGTTTCCTAAACACTTCCTCCATCTCTCGCATTTTCGCTGAGCGGTGTTTCTACTAAAACTCAGATCAGCTTAAATCCCCAGATAAAAGCCTACTCGAAAGATTACAGAACCGTGAAGGATACCCAGAAATTGCAGCGAAAAACAATGGAGACGGAACAAGAGCGACCGTTAAAGCAGGACCATTGCCACAAACATTTGACCAGCTTTAGAGACGATTTGACCAATCACAGGGTACCCACTGAACGTCAAGGCTCACAAAAAATACGTGAACTATGAGACAACCAATAAAGATTTCAGAGCAGAGTAAAGCGAGTGCACCACGAACACCCCTACCCCCTCTCGACTACAAGGGACACCGCACTGCGGAGCATTGAAGCCATGACCGGTGTCATGTGTAGCTGAAAAAGGGGCAGTAGGCAAGCATAAGGGCTAATCCACAAAGGAAATCTCATCAGACACCCAAATGATCAACATGTCATAGGGTGAACGGTTGCAGACCGCTGTCAAAAGACACATTCAGCGATATGCAGTCCCAGCTTTCATTTTGTACAGAAAGCTGATTTCTTATACCCTGGCCGCCTATGGCGGTACAAGTTAACCAGCAGTTTGTGGATTTATTCGAACGAAGGGCATAATTTTGTGACAAAAACTTATCCAAGATGCAAATATAATATTTGGTTAGAAAGAAAGTCCAAAGAAAGTCCTTATTCCAGAAAAAGATCAAAAACATTTTGAATGTTTGCACCGCTGTTTAGTGAAGAGTGTCCTCTGAGGTTTTTGCAGACGGGTACATCAAGAATTTGTGGAAGCTTTCAAAGCCTAAAAGTCCCCCAAACGACACGGTTTTCTTCGACCTATCCCATATTGTGGGTTCCTGTAGGGCCACTCCGCCGTAATCACGGAATGACGGCCGTTTACTCAAGCTTCTTGAGGCGCAGCCGAACGTAACCACCAGTAAGTTGGCAACCTCTCTAGGCTCCTCCTGACAACTGCCATGCTTCTCCGCAGTCTCGGTTATAGGGAAATTTTTTGTGAAGGATGCCTCATGAGTTGGACCAGTCTGACAAAGCGCACCGAATGGTCGTGACTGAGTTTTCTTTTCCTTGTACACACTGGAAGAACTTTTGTGGGACACTGTGGTTGGTAGCGATAGCTGGAGTGCTTGCGTAAACTATGCACGCATCCTTTTCAGGATCTCACCGGAAGAAAAGTAGACTGCTCAGCTAAAAGCAGATGTTCATGGAATAAAGTTTTTACTGTGTCTGTGTTATTAGTGGGATTTCAAAGCGATGTTGCTGGGAACTGGCACAACAACCTGGACCAGTGTCTTCACTAATCAACGTCAAAAGATGGATGACGTCACGCTTGAATTCATTCAGAAACACCCACTTTCTTCTTTCTGCTACGACAATGCTCACTCCGTATCTGAGGATCAGGCTACGCCACAAGATCATGGATCAAGGAATGCGATCGCACCCAGCTTATTAACCAAAGTTAGCAGCCTCTAATTACCACCTCCTTTGGTCCCTACCGCATCCTTCAGAAGAGCAAAAATTCCGAAAATCGACGTCTACTCGAAAATGAGGTCTACCTCTTCTTTTTATGTTGTTGCCGTAAATCTATGTGAGTGGAAATGAGAAACTACGCAAAAGATGGGCACTAGTCCGTCATTAATGGTGACCACCTTTTAGATTGGAGGTGTCTTTCAGTAAAGGAATATTACTCCGAAAATAGTCAAAGTGAGGCAGGACTTCCCTTCCAACCTAATATTAGGTTGTCCGGAAAGTTCTGCACGTTTCGAGTGTTTCACTTTAAACGATCATAACTTTCTTAACACTCATCGGATTTCAATCCGAAATAAGCACCATTCGAATCAGCACACTTTTGCCAATGTGACAGCAGTCGAGAAATCCCATAAAAAAACTGGGTGGTCGAGAATCCACGAAGGCTTTTTTGCCTGGTCCTGATTGATGAAGTATTTTCCAGCAAGGGAGTTCTGAAAATGTTTGAAAAGGTAGTGTTGGCGAAAGGTCTGAAGAATATGGCGGTTGAGGTAGAACTTCAACCCCCAATTCGTTCAATTTATGGATAGTGATTTGTGAAACGTGTGGGCGGGCGTTGTCATGCAAAAGAATCGGACCCTTTCTTTTGATAAGTGTTGGCTGCATCTGACAAAATTTTCGGTACATTCGTCGATTCCTTCACAGTAGGGTTCTGCTGTGATGGTTTGGCCTGGTGATAAAAGTTATAGTGGATCACACCAGCCGATGACCACCAAACCGTGACCAGAATCTTTTTTTCGTGAGGGTTCGGCTTTGAAAATTACCTCGGTGGTTCGTCGAAATCCAACCACTGTCCGGAACGTCTCCTGTTATCATACATGATCCATTTTTC